TATGTCTAAATGCACTAAAGCAATAAACAAAAGTGTAAGAATTACTTTTGAGGGCCTTGATCATTGACACTATTCTGAGTCTGTATCAACTTAAACCATAAATGGTTTTCATTTTGAAAGCACTGTATGGTAGCATTATTCTTTCAAGTACTTTTAATTTCAGTTTTTCAGTTGGCAGCACTTGTAAAAAGCAATAAAATTACTGAAGACTGAGGCATCCTTCCTGTAAACAGGAAAGGAAAATCTTATTACCTCGCTAGTTCAAATTGAAGTGAAAATAAAAGCCAAATGTTACTGCCGTGCCTTGGCCTTCAACACTGAGGGAGTACAAAACAAAGTGAACAGAGGAGTTAAAAAGCTTGATCCACCTGCAAAAACAATTTTCATCTACCCTTCTGTGAGAAGGAATTACATCAGATTGTACCACTCTGGATGTGCAAGATCCAGAAATAGACAGCTTCAAAGAGGTGGAAGAGCCACCTGTGTCATGAATGAACTTTAATCATCAAAGAGGAATAGGTGGGGCATGTTGTGTTCACAAGGCAATTAGCATTTTAATATGTTTTAAGTCTTCGTTTTCTCAGATTATAGGTATTTTGAGCAGCCTAATTTCATCACAGCAAATAATGGCTCCCTGAGGAGTTCACAAACTGATAGTCTACAAAATATACAGGTGTGTTTTCTGACCAGAGAATAAACAAACTATCAAGGCAGAGATATTGCATGGCAAGCCGTCAGATCTAACCAGAGCACAAACAGCAGTGAGCACTGTTGTATTACTCGAGTCCTGATTTTTAGGACTTGTGACTTGTCTTGGCCTTGAGCAGCGATGATTCCGACTCAGACTCGAGCACTGCCTGCATTCAGACTTGGAAGTTGGAGAAGAAGACTATTTTAATAGGCCATAATACTGGCATATGAAATTGATATTAAAACCTGTTCTCCCAAACCATGCTGCACTCGACTCAGACTATTCTTTGGTGACTTGCACTTGACCCGGACTCAAACACTAGGGACTCAAGACTCGACTCAGACTTGAGGTTTAGTGACTCGACCACAACACTGGCAGTGAGTAACTGGCATTCAACAGGTGGACACAAGGGGGCTCCAGTGTAGAGGTGGAAATTCCATATGCTTTTGTTTTGTTGAAACTTGCTTTCAAACATTTGTTGTCACTCTCTGTGTGGTTTGTTCATTTTCAGTTCAGCAGTAAATTCGGTTTTCTGCTGGAATAAACAGTTTCATATACTTCAGCGCAAAACCAAGTGTTTACCGGACATGCCGTGTTTATGAGGTTAATAGCTCAACAACTACATCAGCAACAGACTGCTCGCATCATGATTGTACCCGTGGCTACTGCAGTCTGTTAGTTCACTTTTATGAAGTAACATATGGCATATTGCTGCTGTGCTGACAAGGGAGTTATCAATCATCTTTCAGGGGAGTTCCAGTGCAAAAAGCTACTGAGTGGGTCAGTGACAATAATGTTTCAGTATACTGAATTCATCTTGAAGATGTAGTGCTGAAGATTAGTCAGTTCCTCTGGGTCTGCTGGATGTTAGCTACAAGAACTAGATAAGAAAAATGTACAGTATTAAATCCCTTTGCTGGCCTGTCTTAATGAAGCTTTAAACCAAAGTTGTAATATGTGCCATTATCTATACCGTTTATTGTGTTATCTGAACGTCTCATGTGACAACTGAAAATTGGCCACCAATTTGGCACATAATTTCATTAATGGTAGAGGACAAGTATGTTTGCAGTATTAATACAACATTGTCTGCATTTCAGAGTTAATTCTCATTTCATGAAATTTAATGAAACTGTTATTTATGAGCAGATGCAGCCCAAGTCTAAACAGCAGCAGCTGTGGCCTGCACTATTTGAATCCGAAGAGGGTGTGAAGTGGTTCTTACAGGCTGGTTGCCTGGTTTACATGCACTGCACTCAGATCAGTCTGTTTTTTGATCAGGATGTCCAGGATCCTGCCCATTTTTGTCAGTGAATACAGGATTATGTATCGTCTTGTTTGGTCTGGATCTTATACTTAATGGTATTGCAGAAAAATTGTGGCTCTAATGTGTCAATATGAAATATGTGGATGTCAGTTAGTTTGTGCATATAGTAGTGCCCAGGTGTGTGTGCAACACTATTAATATGAAGCTGGGAGCTGCTGAGACAGTGTGCTTAATTAATCTTTCTGGGTAAGACTTAAAGATAATTCCAGTTTATTACAGCTTTGGCCTCACAGTTACAACACTGTAGCTATTAACTTGGTTAATACAGTGTTTTTATTGCTGAAAGTAATGTAATACAAAATACAGTATGAGATGTAATTTGAGAAGCATAATACTGAAAGACGGTATTCATTACATCATCCCAGCGACAAGACAAATATAAGTTGAACTGCGTCTGTGGTTGTGACAAGTCTCTCTAGTTTTTGATTACATCTCCCAGAGTGACACATCCACTGTTGTTGTGTACTGAGGAGATGATGAGCAGCAGGTTTTCTGGCGCTCAGCGTGAGGGTTGCCTCTCTGTAGATATCCTGATTGGTTCAAGTGTGTCTGCACACCAGAGGGAGATGCATTCACAGCCTGTAAGACAACTCCAGGTCTATTCAAAACACCAACTTTCTTTTAAAGTAGAGACAGTTCCAGGCAAGGTTCCACAAACAAAAAGAATACTTACTTACACATACCAGATATTGAAATAAACACAATTAAATGGGTAAAATGATGTTTATCCATTATTTGACCCCAAAGAGAGGGATTGTCAGACCATGCCGTCATAGATTTTCAGAGCCCCTATGTAAAAAGAGTGCATATTATTCCATGTGTTTTCAACACTGACTATTTAGCTTGACTGATTTTTGTATTTTTTAATGTGAATTGAGCTTGGTTTGGAAGCAGAAGAGTTGCTTTTTCCCTGTATGTTTTGCATCATACTGTAGAGGTTATGATTCTCTTGCTTTATAATTTCATTTGCACATTAGAAATGTCAAAGTAAAGTAATTTGCACATTTCTGATAATTAAACCAAAACTTGACACATAAGAATACCAAATGTTTTAGTAAATTCTCTATGAAAACTGTACATAAAGTGCATATGTGCTGCCCTTCCATGAGCATAGCAGTAGAGAATGCTTTATGAAGAAACTTTAGAAAATAAGAATCAGTGTAAACTCTGCATTCTGAGACAAATGTTAAGAAACTAAAGTTGCAGTCACCAAAACCATGATTGCTGTGTATTTTGTTATGTGGACCATATGAGCTCTCAAGCTCATATGGCTGGCAGATTGTAAATAGATGACATCAGTGAAACATTTCGATCAGCTCTTCTCTCTGATGTTACTGGAGTAGCAGTGCAATTATCAAAGGTAGGTTATGTTAAAACTTTGGATTTCAAATCATCATGGCATTAACATCAAGGGCAAGTATTTTTCATCTCTTGTGACATTGTAAAAAGCAAATGTTGCATAAATGAATCGACTGTACTGTTAGTCATAACCCAAAACAGCTGAAAAAGTAGTGAAAAAATATAAAATTGTTAATTATAAAGAATGAAGGTTATAATTAAATTAGTCACTATTTTGTTATGATGTTATGTTTTGTTATTATGTGAATGACTTTTACATGTGGAAATGAAGAATGTGAAAAATTAAAATAATATTTTCCCAAATGTCTAAAAGTTTTTCTTGAAAATTGGCACAAAATTAAAAGATGACCTTGGCTCCCATCTCGAAACTAGGACATCACTCTGAAAGTGAATAAAACATTGAACCATGCAGGGTTTAAAGTTTGTTGAGAGCATCCTGTGGCAATTTAAGGGCTTGATTAACAGTCCCTGGTGGTCATATGCTAATGAAAACTGATCAAAAAGAAAATTGGCAATGTTTTCTACATAAAAGTAATACTAAAAAAAGCAAAGAGAAAAACTACTTGTTAAAGAAAGAGAAGAACAATGGGAGAAAAGGAAAAACTAAGAGCTATGTTATATAATTATAAAATCACCTTTAACATGATCTAATACTGAATGTTCTGTGTGTATGTACAATAGTTGATAAATCTCCAGTGGTATTGCTAGAATATTCCCTTAGGCTATTCCTAGAGTGTCTACAGTCAATCATAACACAGAGGCTAAAGCTGCATGCTCTCTCATATCTTAGAGCAATAGCGACATCTTGTGGCTGGGTGGTTGGCAGCATCACTTCATTAAAACAAAAGAATTATGTTTTATATATTATTTTGAAATTAAAACTAGCAACAAAAAAAAAATCCATCCAAGATTACTGGCAGTCGTAATAATAATGGCCTATGAAATTGGTAGTTATAACTACAGCCAGTGATAACAGTACTGTACAATAATAAATCCAATACACAAGTGTTACTGGTCCTTTACACTACATACCTACATTTACCTTACTAATTTGCATAAATAGAAGGCACTACTCACATAACTTAATATAACCTTTTTAAACAAAGTATCCTTCTTTTTGGTAAGTATGGCATCGAAGAGTTTTACTTCCAACATCCTACCGACAGCAATAGGCCAATGATTAGTTTCTTTTTTTTAAATTGTAACAAGTACTGTTCTAGTAATGGATTCCAAATTGAGAGTGGCTCCCAGAGCTTGTTGTTACATATCGAGGTTTGTCTGCTAGGAGTGCAAGTTTGTTTAAAAAGCAGAAAGAAACAAAATGCAACGTCTGTAAAGGCAGCCTGGTATCGTAGTCTATAAACAAGTGAGAATATAGCGCATCTGGGCCTGTTTATAGGTGTTCCCGGTGCAAAGGTGCAGATGTAACCGGGGTATTGGCAATAGGTTATTCAGCACCAGCTTCGCGCTTCCAGCTGGAGCAGGAGGACGTTCAAGCAACACCATGAGCAGATCCTCCAATTGGCCAATCAGAAATGACAACAAACCTGCCATGATAGAAAAGCTAAGCGCTCATTGGATGAATCTTGTGCGATGTAATAAGATGCTTAATATTGATTGGTTGTTCGTACGCCTAAGGTTTAGTAAACATCTCTGCACTGCTTCTGAAAAGCGAGCAACTTGTACCTATTTATCCGGGCTTGGGACTGGCTTGCAACCACTGTGGCTAGATTGATCAACTTGTACTAAGTAAGTAGCTAATTCCAACTTTATGTTATGTTGCTAGATATAACTTTATGTTTCCACTATGACATTGAGGCTCACTTATTCGCTGATATTACCGTGTGAAACAGCTTTTGGTGTCTGCTAATATGACAAAACATTTACTTTTTTATTAAGCTGCTACACTTAACACTGAAGCAATAATAGTTAGCCCACTGTAAATAGGATGTGACGATCATTAGTTTTTCTTTACAAGTTACATGTATGGTTTGGAAAACTTATTAGACTCTTTAATGTGCATTTGTGTGGCCCAGAACCTTTTTGCTGTGTGGCACTAACCACCATGCCACCTGTCTTCTTGCACTCTTGTAGGATTATTATTATTATTGAAAGGTGTCAAAAGCTATAACTTTCCACAAAAATGCAACCAAGGTACTGGCACCTTTTCACATGATGTTGAATGTCAGATCGATTTCTCTCTGTGTTCCAGATTTGACCATGGATCTTGTACTGAATGTTGCTGACTATTACGTCCTCACCCCGTATGTGTACCCTGCATCATGGCCTGAAGACGGGGCTCTGCGACAGATTATCAGCCTGCTTGTGCTGACGAATCTAGGGGCTGTAGTCCTGTACCTGGGCCTGGGAACCATCAGCTACTACTTCCTCTTTGACCATAATCTGAAGAAACACCCACAGTTTTTAGAGGTATGAGGCCTGTGTCTTATTTTATGATTAGGGTAGTAATGAACCCAGTGTTGGTGCAGTTAATTGAACTTCATGTCTGGGTGGACAGATTTAAGTGTGGTTGGTAGGACCTGATGCAAGCTAAATTAATTCACAGATGAATCACTAAAATGCCAATGATCATTTAATATTACAATAATTCGAGACAGTTCAATAGTTTGGCAGACATTTCAACAGACTAGAGATATGGGACAGAGTCAGCATTGCTGCAGGAAATAAAATAAATGCAGTATTAGACAAGAAGATAGTCACAGAGTCAGTCAGTCTTGGGTCATAAGTGCAGGCAAGTCTGTCACGTTCCCCCCGGCCAGGGTCTCACTCATACGTCCTTCTTCCGCATGCACACGCACTAAACTACATACATAACCACTGCATAAGAACACCTGCACACAGCTTAAGAAATCTGAAATAGCTGTGCATTGCAGTTTTCAGCAAACGTTACTGAAACAAGAACAAATAGTGCATTTATTGGGAACCATTTTCAGATGAGGATTAATGACACAGCATGACGGTGCACATGCAACTCAAAATAAACTGCTTGGTTGTGTGTTTGGTGAAATGGCGTGGCTTAGTGGTGTGTTCATAAAGTTTTCTGACAAGATCAAAGCTCAGGAGTATCAGGATTTGGACACAGACAGTACTTGTTTAGGATCAGTTCATTGTTGGGTTTGATGTTTTCAACTGATTTTTTTTTTTGAGAGTAAGAAAAAATAAAAACACCACCAGCAGCCTTACCTGAGTGTTTAGCCTTTCTCAGGCAGTGTTGCTGAAGGCTGTAAAAAATGTTTTTACCAGAAATCTTTATACATTCTATATCTGTTTAATTTTATAGATCTCCTCACTTCTTATTTATTTGATTCCTATTTTAAATACATTGTTCACTTTTCTTTCTTAGAATCAGGTACAGAGGGAGATCAAACATGCACTAACCTCTCTTCCCTGGATCAGCATCCCTACGGTGGCTTTGTTTTTCACTGAAGTTCGAGGATACAGCAGACTATACGACGGTGTCACTGAATCTTCTCTGGGTAAGTTGAGGAATGTCCTCATCAGTTTTCACTTGGTCTGTAGTTTTAAACTTGTTAATGACATCTAGTTTGTGTGTGTGATCAGGATGGCCTGGGATCTTCCTGAGTACTGTCTCCTTCCTGTTTTTCACTGACATGTGCATCTACTGGATTCATCGCTTCCTACATCATAAGCTCATTTATAAGGTGAGAACAACTGTGATTCTTGTTTGAACTTGCAGAACAGCCACAGATAAATGATAATTATGTGAAACGGTCAAATAAAATGAGTGACATATTTTTAGAGAAAGAAGAATTTTAAACTAATAGTAGTGATAGCTCTGGCCTTACTCTCTTGTCCCGAACAGCTGTTTCATAAACCACACCACATATGGAAGATACCCACCCCCTTTGCCAGCCATGCCTTTCATCCAGTAGACGGCTTCCTGCAGGGACTCCCATACCATATCTATCCTTTCCTTTTCCCCCTCCACAAGGTGCTCTACTTGGCCCTATATATTTTTGTCAACATGTGGACTATCTCTATCCATGACAATGACTATCATGTCCCCAGTGCTCTGACAAGTATCATCAATGGCTCAGCTCACCACACTGACCACCACCTGTTCTTCGACTTCAATTACGGCCAATACTTCACACTGTGGGATCACCTGGGAGGCTCCTACAGGCACCCCTCAGCTCTGATGGGGAAGGGTCCCCACGATCTGATCCGGAAGCTTCAAGCAGAGGGAAAGCTAGGCAATGACAGTGTGCAGGCTAAAGGACGTGCTCACAGAGGAATCGCATGTAAGGAGGAGTAACAGTAGGTGAAATCATGATTAGTTGCTGAAGGTGATCACTTTTTTGTAAAGACAGTGTGCTACTCAGCTGGCAAACAGAGAATAATGTGATTGGTGATATTAGAGGCAAACCTTTGGGATTGCTGCATACCAGCCATGCCAACAAGGAAGCATATATTAAAATCTGGAGCTGTATTATTGTCTTACAGATCTTGTAACTGGAGCTTTTTCTTGTTTTTGTATCAAACACAAAAGAGCTTAGCGCAAAAAACGTACTGCAAACCAAGAAGAAGGCAACTGGATCTGCTACACTACCGGTGACAGACATAAATAAATGTAAATGTGATTGGAAGTTTGACTTCATTATTTAGACTGGGGCTGTTTGGACAAGGATCAACTGTGACGTAAACTTTAATTTAACAAGTAGTTCATCATTGTAACTCAAGACTGAATCTGAAAGATGTGACAAACTGCTGTACTTCAGTAACAGTTCTCATAATTGTGCCTGTTTTTACTACTGGTTCATACTAACTTTGTATGTGCTACCTGTGTTAAAGGAAATGCAAGTCAAGCAAAGCAATGTTTATTGAGACAAACAGCTGGAGCCCCAATAAACCTGCAAATAAACTTGAATTTTACATTACCAGTGCTTGTTTATGAGTCAAATATTTCCTGCATTAGCTATCACAGCTGACTGCAAAAAATTACTTTCTGAGCAACTGACTGACAAGTACCAAGGTCAAAAAAAAGGCCAGAATTTCTTTTTCAAGCTATCCTTTGTGTGCATAAACATTGTGATTTTTAGTTTAGCAAATTTAAGGCCCAAACTGACTGTAGCAGCAGAAAAAAAATTACCAGAGAAGAGAAACAGCAATGACAGCAACTAGTCTAAATTCTACAGTCAATACAGTGTCAGATATTCAAAACAACACATCAGAAACTGAGTTGAAGATGTCTGGTGGGCAGTCTCCTCTGTTTGGGTGTTAAAAACATGGGTTAATGGAATGAACTTTGGTACCACTCAAAAACCACTACTAGGGTGGCTGATATTGACTAAACAAACCCAAATTCCCCAGTTTGTGATTCTTTTAATCCAACACAAAAAGACAGCTGTCCAACCCCACTTACTGATGAAGACCATGTAATGTGGTTGAGAGCTGTTAGTAAGTGGACCACGAGTTAGGATAGTTTTTATAAAAGTATAAAAATATATTTCAAAATGTGAATGTATGATTTATTGTTGTATGCATGCAAACAATGACTTATGATCACTATCTTTATATTTTAATACAGCAGTATATTTCTACAGGCTACATGACTTACAAGCTACACTTTTCTAAAGTTTACAAAGTGTAAGTTCAGGCAGCAGATAGCCGAACATTCAGGTACAAACATGACTCTTGTATTGAAAAGTTTCATAAGTAGATTTACTGTGATATAGATACAAGCAAAAACAGCGTCCTTATCATACGTTGTGTATTCAAAACTGCTCAAACGACGAAAATTGAACAACCGCATAGGCAGCTGTTTGTTACAGTATATGATTTGAAAACATATGAAATACGAAGAAAAATCCTTTCACATGCTGACGTCAGGTAGCCCGCCCGTGAGGACAGACAGGCCTTGTGCAGTGCTGTCACATCAGTAATGGAGATCATCTCAGCAAAAAAAGAAGGGCATCCAGAGGAAGGATCGCATGGCTGCCCCTTCTGCCATGCCTGCCAGTAATCCCATTGCCAGCTGCTCTGCTACTCCATCAAATGGGTCCCTCTGAACAACCACCTGGTGGGTGCCTTAGAGAAAAGACACAGGGAAGACATTTAATGTTCATGGTAAAGTCCATGGCCTATTGATGGCTGAAAATTACAGTAAAAGAAGAGCTCAGGGTTGTCATTTGTAAGGGATCCTCTGTTTGACAGCTACCATAAACAGTCACTTGGAGTCCTACATCTGTTAAGTATGTTGGATTGTACTGTACATATAATCAGCATACAATTTTTTCACCCCTATTAAACCAGCCTTGCAACACACTGTGGCATGTTGCACAAAGGGATCAATGGGCAAAGGTGTGCAAAAAAAAAAAAAAAAAAACTGGATAAACTATAAATCATTCGTCATTATGTTCCGAAATATATAATTAGTATCATAGTGCATGTAACAATGTAACTATGTAACCGTGTTGCTTGACATAAGGTATCTCATAATTTTAGTTTCATGATTTTTTACATCAACTTCGTTTTTATCTGTTAAACAGTATAAGTTTATAACAGATGCTACATGGTTTTGAAAAACACTGTGTTGTGGTTTGTGTCCTGCTTCCTGTTTGAGGCTTTTATTTTGGTTATATTTCCTGTCTTGTGTGACCTCACCTGCCCCAGCTTTAGCCCGGTTCATAATTTCTGTTCATGGTTTCCACCTGCTCCTCATTATCCTCTGGTCTCCTGTCTATATATCCTCCTTCCTTCCCTCAGTCGGGGTTCTGGTTCATTTTGTCTCTATGTCTGTTGTTTTTCCCCTTTAGTCTCGTTCTCTACTATTTAATAAAGCCCTACTTGAACCTTCCCTTGTAGGAAGCCCAGATATTTTTATCAGACACACACACAGCACAGAACTGTCAGTAACATATTATTCATTGTCGCTGTGTAATACTACACATTGGCTTTGAAATTTAACAATTATATTAAACTGATTCTCAGTTAAATAATTTAGTGTTTACTTCTACATCAAATGAGCAACTTCTTAACAACAGTTCCCCAGTTTTCAGGGGCGGAAAGCGACAGTTTACATAACTTAATATCAGAGTTCTTTAATATTAGCTTTTCTCCAGTGATGCTCTGCTGTAGCTGCTTTCACTTCTTGCTTGTTTTAGAGCTTTTTGCCTTCAGTCTGGTTTTCAGAGAGTTTTTTTTTCATTGTACTATTTGTCTGTATTTTCCTTTATGTTACACTGGGGTTGTGAACCGCAGTCAAAAGGACATAGGGATAATCACCTTTATTTGGCCAAGTATGTTGCACACAAGGAATTTGTTTCCAGTACAGAACCGAGGCAGCCATCTGCGGCGCCAACTCAACCGATGGCTCTAACCATCGGGGGTCAACTTGGGGGGTTCAGTGTTTTGTCAGCTCATGTTGGGTACAGGGATGATTGGAGATAACATACTGACACACTTTCCTTCCAGCTGCATTGCTGTAAGTATCGGTAAGTAAGTATAATTGTCTGCACTCATAGCCTGGCTGAGTGGGTGTAAAGCTTCCAAGGCCTTTTTGTTAAAAATTCCCAGCTCTATCTTCTCTCCATCCAGCCCTCAACCACTTAAAAAAACTCTTATGTGTGAATGCTGTTCCTAGACTTCAGTTCAGCATTCAACACAATCATTCCCCAGCAGCTTATATAAAAACTTGGACACCTGGGACTCAAAACCTCTCTCTGCAACTGGGTGCTGGACTTTCTAACAGGGAGGTCACAAAATGCACTGGTCAGCAGCAACATCTCCAAGACCATCAAGCTGAGCACAGGGGCTCCGCAGGGATGTGTGCTCAGCTCATTGCTCTTCACACTGCTGAGCCACGACTGTGTGCCAACCTACAGCACCAATCACATTGTCAAGTTTGCTGATGACACGACTGTAGTTGGCCTCATTACCAACAATGATGTGGCCAACTACAGCAGTGAGGTGTGCCAGCTGGTCCAGTGGTGTAAGGACAACAACCTCTTCCTCAATGTGGGGAAGACTAAAGAGATTGTTGTGGACTTCAGGAGAAAACCTCTAAAGCATCCCCCACTGACTATCAATGGTGCTGTAGTGGAGAGAGTGAGTAGTACCAAGTTCCTGGGGGTGCACATCTCTGAGGACTTCTCCTGGACCAACAACACCACATCACTGGCCAAGAAAACTCAAACACGCCAATACTTCCTCTGCAAACTGAGGAGAGCCAGTGCCCCACCCCCCATCATGTGCTCCTTCCACCGGGGCGTCATTGAGACCGTCATCACTGGCTGCATCACTGTGTGGTACGGAGGTTGTACTGCCTCCTGCAGAAGGACCCTGCAATGCATAGTGAAAACAGCCAGCAAGATCATCAGTGCTCCTCTGCCTTCCCTTAAGGACATCTTCAACACCTGCCTCACCCACAGAGCCATCAGCATGCCCCACACCTCCCACTCCCACTTCAGACTCCTGCCTTCAGAGAGAAGGTATTGGAGTCTTCAGGCCCACTCCACCAGACTTACAAACAGCCTCATCCTCCTGGCTGTGAGGATGCTGAACGCTGTCCATTAGCTCCACCCCTCTGCCCCTGGACCATAACCCACCACAGAACATAAAAAGACTACCTCTGCTGTTTTACACAAACCCAGTACATTCCCCTTTCTTGTTATATTACATGTAAATCTGCTGCTGACTGTTTTTACCATCATATCTACTGCTGTTGGTCATTTGCACTACTGTCCATGTGCATCTCAATCTCACAACCATCTGACAATCTTATTTGCACTACTGTCACTGATTGTACATGGTTTGAGTCATAGCCTATTAGGTTATACTGTTTAGTTTTATCCTAATCACTTTGATTTAGTTTTCTTATTCTTTTTATTCTATTTTTACTCTTTTATTATATTTCCTAAATGGGATGGCATTCAAGGCATTCAATATTAGGCGAGAAAAATGGTATTTAGATTTTCTCTATGTCCTGCACATATAGTGAATTGACAACAAAAACCTTTGATCTCGATCTTGATGTTAACAATTTTATGCAGTCATCGGTTCCCACTTAATCTGCCATCAGACTCCTAAACAGCTGACTCAGGATCTACCTCATGTAATTCCATCTGTACCAATTACATGCTCATTTTGCACATGCATAATTGCATTATATTCTGTTCCTGTTGTATTTTTATTGCTTCCCTCACCTGCTGCTTTAAAGTGCCTTAGACTTGTGTTACTATTTAGATTTGTGTTATTGCTCATCTACTTTATATTTCACTTGTATTGTTGTGGCATTCATGTGGACAGCAGAGTAAGAATTTCATTGTACAGGGAAACCCGTTTCTTAACTGAATGAATGTCACTTTCAGCATTTTCCCATTTAGGGGTCGCCACAGTGAATCGT